TGCGTTCTGCTTGACCCTCACCCTCGGTAGTCTGGTTCCTTTTGGCGACGGCAATGTCCACGGGGGTTACTAAGTTCACGTACTCAAGGCACACTTCGCGGAGGAGTGGGCTATTAGTAGTTAGCAGGCCAAGAGAAACGCCGCGTACATCAAGATGGTTCGATTTCCTCCTCCTCTATATTTCGGTTGAACGTTGTCAGTTCTACTTGTTCAATGCAGAAGGTAGCTCGATTTCTCCGTTATGTTTCGGTCCAGCTTGGTGTGTCTGTTCTACTTGGTTCTCTCCCGTTACCTGCACCCATCTTACGGTTTTTCATTCACGGCACCTCTAACATAGCGCCTGGGTACGGTACCGGGAGAATGTTTTTTTTTTTCTTCCGCTTACTCATGGCGCACGTTCCGCCTTTCTGCCCCTCCCAATTTTCCCATTAAGGCTGGGGAAAGAGCCCTTTTTTGAAAGATCCCTTTTTTTTGGAGGAGGAGGAGGCATTGTTGCGCGAGGGCATTTGGTTCCGGGGCGCTTCAACAGCCGCCTCTGGACTGTCTTTTCACGAGCAACGTTCGTCTCCGCCGCTTTTAGGCATTTTGCAACGCATGCGAGTGAACAGAAGAGTCCATGTTCACTCACTCACTCACTCACTCACTCACTCACTCACTCACTTACTCACTCACTTACTCACAACGAGGGATGGAGAGCAAGAAATTCACTTTGCTTGCTTGCCTCATTGCTCGTGGTACTCCTAACGCATCTGCATGCGTGCGTGTCTCCTTCCGTCACAACTCGCGTTTGTTTTCACGTCTCCTTTCTCACGTCAACTTTGTGCGTTCTTGCTTCGCTTGCATGTCGGTGATGTTGGCTTGACCTTGAAAACCTCACGCCTACCCGCTTGAAAATCGCTTCCGTTATATATATCCCCCCAGGCGTTGTGGAAAAAGAAGGCCGCGCCGACGCCCATACCCACCAAGCCCCTCGACCGGCGGCCGGGAGGGCCCTTCGCTATCGTGGGGGGGGGGACCCTTCGCCCCCCCCCTCCTCCACCGCTGCCTCCCCCGGCAGCAACTCCAGCAGCGGCAATGACAACATCATCATCATCCACAGCACCGTCCGCAGCGGCAGCAGCAGCAGCAGCAGCAGCAGCAGCAGCAGCAGCAGCAGCAGACGACCACCACGGCGACGGACGCAGCGGCGAAGCGGCAGAACAAGAAGGAGACCCGCGGCACCGTGACGCCGAGCTCGCCCTCGTCCTCCACCGGGCGGGGGCCTTCCTCAACCCCTTCGCCAAGGAGGCGTCGGCTCGAGGGCTAGAGAACACCGTCAAGCGGGGCAAGAAACCGGAGTCCCGCCCGTGGCGCGTGCGGTACGGGGAGGACGGGAGGCCCCGGTGGATGAAGAGGATAGTGCCGGACGTTGGTCTCTCCGCGTTGAGGCAGAGCTCGGAAGCGGGGAGCGCGGAAGCTGGTGGTGCTGGTGGTGGTGCTGGTGGCGGTGCTGGTGTTGAGGCTGGTGTTGGTGGTGGTGCTGTTGTTGGTGGTGGTGGTGATGTTCGTGTTGTTGGTGGTGCTGATGGTGGGAGTGGTTCGGGAGCTACCCGTGCCAATATCGGAGGCGCGCGCGTGGGGGGGGGGATGGGTAAGGGGAGAGGTGGTCGTGACGGAGTCAAGCGTGCTTGTGAGGGGGTGGGCAAGGGGAGAGGTGGTCGCGGCCGACCGGCAAGGGCGAGAAATGAGATGAAGCAGGAGGAGGAGGAGGGGTAGGGATAGGAGGCCACGAAACGCCTGGCACGAAGTTTTCGGATGAAACCACGGGCGAATTTATGTTCCTGTCAAGGGAGTCTGGGGACGATTTCCGGTGTTTCGGGACTGATTATCGTTCAGGCATTTGAAGGAGTAAAACTTAGAAGAGTACAGGTTGATCGTTGGTTTTGATACCCGAAAAATGTGGATGTATTGTGCCCTGAGCACGGGCACGTACGTGCGTCACAGGGTAGGAACAGGCACGCCGCTGATTGCAAAGTTTCATCGCCGGGTACATGCGTGTGTGGATGCGTTTCGAAAGTTGTGTGTGTGTTTTTTTTTCATTATTATTTACATCGACCGCGCTAGCCGGCTGACCAATGAAAAGACGTCAGTCTCAGTGCGGTTGAAAACACAACACACTTCTAAATGCCATTAACTGGTACCCCGTGAGGGGGCCGCGTGGGGGAGACTAACCTATTCTCCGGATCAAAGACAGAAACTGTAACAACAGCAGAAAACTGCACACGTCTACGAGGGCTGCTACCTTGCACCCGAGTTCCTTTTGGAGTGCTTTCGCCGTTATCCTCCTTCCTTCCAACTCCGTCGTTCTCATGGTCGTTTTCAACTTGTCGACATTTCTTCTCTAGCCCTGCGTCGTTTGTGGTGGGGAAGGTCATCTGGCTGGAAGCTCTTGCTCTCTTCCACGCCATTATTCCCTCCTCGACTGCTGCTTTGGTCTCTGTCTTGTCCTCCTCCCGTTCCCTCTCCTCCTCCTTCATCGCTGCCAAACGAGTTCCCCTCATTGCCATCCTGGTCGACTCTATCTTCGCTACTACCGAGATCCCAACCTATTCGCCGTGGTGGGAGCTGATCAAGGAGTAGTCCGTGACGTTTGAAAGCATCACAAGTTCGTACTGATAGAAAACGAGCCAGCTCGAAGGTAAACCGTCTCCGAATCCTATTGGTATGAAAAGACTTTAGGCAAACCAAGGCTGTTTCGGCGTCGAAATTACCCTTGCAAAAGGCTTCATATATATGTGTGTGTTGTACCCGCTACATGTATTCCGTCATTGTTTTTTCGCCTTGAGACGTTCTCTTCTTGCGTGCGGCAGTCACGCTTTCTCGTCCCGCGCCGCACCGCCGGCGTGCTCTGGTTGACTGAAAACCTCCCGACTATAAAAATGTCTGTGGAGAGCGCGGTGGTAAAACTTATTCGCGTCTTTCCGAAAATCGTAGAGGTTCTTCGTTCCTATTGGATGTGAACCCGTCTACCTGTTCTGATTGTTCTCACGGTGTGCTCTAATTGCCGCTGCGTCCCGGAACATGCCCAATGCGGAGATCTTCGTCGTGGGTCTTACGGATGTCTTGAAGCTTTGTGTCATCTATTGGAACTGTGGCACATGCGCAGTAGTTGAGCACCCCCCCCCCCCTGGAGGAAGATGACAGTTTTTGTTCCCCGTTGTGATTCGTGGTCTGGGCCGGCGGAAAACCGGCATAATGCCTTGTCCGGGCATTGTAGCGATGCCAGGTCAATGGTCGAACGACTTGGGGCATGCATTTTCAGCAGTGCCCCCCCCCCCCCCCCCCCT